TATGGAAAACTGAAAGAATTTAAGATATAAAATATTAGGCTACCAGTCTAATAATATTTATAAGTAACTGATACTATTTATAAACATGGAGAAAAAGTGTAACTCCGGAAGTAGAATAAATAACAACAGGGTCGAGGCAGAGATACAGAATTAAGGCTGTTTACAATGCAAAATACTGTGCAATCCAAGCAAAAGAACATTCCAATGACACTTTCTTATTAAGAAATTCTAGACTGGGGCAGCGCCTGTGGCTCAAAGGAGTAGAGCACTGGCCCCATATGCTGGAGGTGGCGGGTTCAAACCCAGCCCCAGTCAAAAACTGCAAAAAAAAAAAAAGAAAGAAAGAAAGAAAGAAAGAAAGAAAGAAAGAAAGAAAGAAAGAAAGAAAGAAAGAAAGAGCGAGCAAAGCAATTCTGGACTGTGCAATTCATTCCAACTCTGAAGTCTGAAGAAGTCAGTCAGGTCTCTATGGTCTTCAGAGGGGAAATGAGAGTAAAAAGTCAAATAGAAGTTAAATTAAAAAGAAAAGAAAATCAAAGTAGGGTCCTTGTCTGAGAGAAAGAGACAGAGAAAGAGGAAAAGAGTGTAAGAATTCACAATAAACCAACAAGATGGCACCAAGGCCTAAGAACACAAAGCTGTCTACATTCCCCCCTCTGGACTTGGCAGTGACCCATTCAGATGGAGTCCCAGTGGCTGGTCAAACATTAGATATCAAGAGGCTAGAACTCAAGCAGGAACCTTGACCCAAAGAGCCCAAGGTCCAGAGTGGGTGGACCACCTAAATCTGTTGTGCTTTGGATGCAGATACAAAATACAACATCAAAAGAGTCTGATCCTGGTGGGACTATGGCTGACTATATTGCTTTGAACTAACACTTCCATTGAAAACAGCTAGAAACACAGAACAAAATATAGGCCACATTTGTTTGAAGAAAATAGAGATCTGACAAATTGGTGAGGAATTGTGTGGACCTGGAGCAAGATCCACAATAAGAATAAAACCCAGAAAGGTGAGATGAGCCGCTGGGGTCATCCTCTCCTGGAAGCAATCACCTCAAATTTATGGCTGAGAAGCAGATAAGCTTCTGGCTAGGGGGACAAAATTTGGAATTCAGAAACTCCTACGGAGGGGAGAACAGCATAGGCTGTTCATTGGAATCCCAAAAGACCACAGCATGGGCGTAAGGGAGTAATAGAAATTGAAGTACAGTTTTAAATCCTCTCATCACTGATTTCATTAAGATGACCCCAAATTACTAATGCTTTCAGACTAGCCACCTGCCAGAAAAGAAAGGGAATCTTCTTTGGAGGAGGTTGATATTATACAGAATCTCAAATCATTTTTACAGCTTTTTATGTAGAATGTACATCACTCATGAAAAGTACCAGTCAAGAAGATAACCCCAAAACAAGGAAAAATAAAAAAACATAGAGGATAATGGGAAAAAAATGGAAATGGAAAAAATAAACATAGAGGATCTAATTAATAGGATTATCAGGCACAGACTTCAAAATAATTGATTAGTATTTTCCAGGAATTGAAAGATAAGACTGAAAGTTTTGGCAGACTGTAAACTATTTAAACAAAGATTAGATAGATGAAAGGAGACACCAGAAGGTAACCGGAAGGTATGTCTAAAGAAGACACCCACTCTAAAATATGGTAAGACAAATGGGTAGAAAATGCAAAAAAAAAGAGGGGAAGACACACATGAGGAAAAAGTGAAACTGTCTAAAATATCTACAATTAGAGCTCCAGAAGAAAAAGAAACAAGAATGGAGAAGTAAGATGTGAAGAGATAATGGCCAGGAATGAGCCCAAAGTCACAGAAGACATCAAACCACAGATTCAAAAAGCACTTCAAACGCCAAACGTAACTAATAAAAAGATAACAATAGCTTATGATATCATTGGAGAATTACTTAAAACCAACGACAAGAACATTTTAAAAGGACCAGAAGAAAGAAAAAATATCTTCAAAGGAGCAAACATAAAGTCTATTTCTCAACAAAGAAGCCAGACAATGGAATATTTCACATGTACTAAAGAGAATGACTGCCAATATAGAATCAGATACCTAGCAAAACAAACACACCATTTTTAATTCAGGAAAAATAAAGACATTTTTAAACAAACAAAAACTAAAATAAGTCATTGCCAGCAGAGCTGAACTAACGGAAATAGTGCGGGTCATTCTTCAGGTGAAAGGCAAATGATCTCGGTTATGAGATGATACATGTGGGAAGAGTGAGGAGCAGCAGAAAGAGTGACTTTCAGTGAATAATGACTCATGGAACCGTCATAATTATTTGGGACATCCAAAACATGGAGAGAAGTAAAATGTCTGAAGAGGATGTTAGCAGTAAGTCAGGGGCAAAGATAAACAGAGTTAATGTGCTCTAAGGTTCTTGGATGATCTAAAAAATAAGAAAAGTACTAATTTACATTAAACTTTAATAAATTGGGGGTCTGTTTAATGTAACCACTAAAAGAATACCACAAGAATGTGTTACTACCACACAGATATTTTAAAAAATAAAAACAACCTTAATTCAAAAGACAGCAAGAGAGAATGGGAAGAAATTGTGAGAAAAATAATACGGTAGCTGTCAATCCACATTTATCAGTAATAACAGCCCCATGTACCTAGTGCAGAGAGAGTGACACAGCCAAGTGCAGCATCACATTGTTTCAATCAACAACAGACCGCATGCAGGATGGTGGTCCCATGGGCTTATAAAAGAGCTGAAATATTCCTATAGGCTAGTGACACGCGAGCCATCCTGGCATAGCACAACACATGACCCCTGTGTGCTGTGGTGGTGCTGGTGTAAACAAATCTATACTGCCCACCTTATAAATGTATACAACTATGCACAGTCCCCACTTAGTAGTGTTAATAAATGACTATATTACGGGTGTATGTATTTATTATATTATACTTTCATTGTTCTTTTATAGGTAGTATGTTCTTTATACTTATAATTTAAAAAAAAAAGCTAACTGTAAAACAGCCTCAGGCAGGTCCTTTAGGAGGTATTTCAGAGGAAGGCATTGTACTCATAGGAGTGATAGCTCCACGCATGTCATACCCCTAAAGGCTTCTGGGACAAGATGTGGAGGTGAATTCAGTGATATTGATGATCCTGACCCCATGTAGACCTAGGCTAATGTATGTGTGTCTGCGTCTTCACTTTTAGCCCCAAAAGTTTAAAAAGTAAAAAATAATAATAATAATAACTTTTTTAATAGGAGCATATACAATAAGAAAAAAAGAAATAAAATATTTTTATACAGCTGTATAATGTGTTTGTATTACAGAAGAGTCCACATGTTTAAAAATCATTAAAAATTGTATAAAGTAAGAACGTTTCTGTAAGCTAAGATTAATTTATTACTGAAGAAAGAAGAATATGTTTTTATAAATTCAGTGTAGCCTAAGTGCACAGTGCTTATAAAGTCTGCAGTGGGGTATAACAGTGTCCTAGCCCTTCACAGTCACTCACCATCCACTCAGGGACTCACCCAGAGCAACTTCCAGTGTGTTCCATTATCTTATTTTTGATATCATATTTTTGCTGTACCTTTTCTATGTGTAGATGCACGTACACTTCCCATTGTGTTACAGTTGCCTACAGTATGCAGTACAGTCACATGCCATAAAGATTTGCAGCCTAAGAGCAACAGGATATCCTCACAGCCTAGGTGTGTGATAGCTATGCCATCTGGGTTTGTGTAAGTGCACGCTGGGTGCTGCTTAATGACGCACTTCTCAGAACATATCCCCCATCGGGAAGCAAGCCATGACTGTATTGATGCTGCAGAGTTGAGCTGTTAATTGGGTGGAATCAGAGTTGGAGGAAAAGCATGGGTCAGGGCCTAAGGAGGAGGGTCCAGGGCAGTGGTTCTCAAGCTTCCTAATTGCTGCATTGTTACAAATGGAAAGAAGGGGTCGCAACCCCCAGGTTGAGAACCGCTGATCCAGGGGAAAGGTAGAAAATAGTGCGGGAAATCACAGGCTTGCTGTGTTCCCCAAATTGTTCATATGATGACTTGAGTTAAGGCAACCTGGACTGACTTAAAGGGCCCAAGAGAGCAAAGAAAACCAAGAGTGGAAATTCTTTCATTCATTCCAATCAATAGCTACCTGTTTATAACTCAACAGGATATTAATGTATTTCTCCATTATTTATAAATCTTTCACATGAAACTTGCTGCCTGTTCGTCATAACTCTATCATACAGAGAAGGTAGAATTATAATTGTACAATGGTTTGAATGTGTCCCCCAAAAGTCCATGTGTTGGAAACTTAAGTACAGAATTAAGAGGTGGGACGTTAATGAAGAGGTGATTAGGCCACTAGGCCATGAAGGCTCTGCCCTTATGATGGGATTGATGCTGTTATTTTGGGAATTGTTATCACTGGAGTGGCTTCCTAATAAAAGGAATAATTTTGGCCCCATTTCTCTGTCTGTCTCACACGTACACTCCCTCATCCCATGACACCTTCTTCCATGGGATGACCCTTGGCCAGATGCACTATTATACTCTTAGACTTCCGAGCCTCCTGAATTATGAGCCAAATAAACTTCTTTAGAACTGTCCCACTCTGTGGTGTTCTGTACAACAGCAGAAAACGGACAAAGACAGATTCCCATTTTATACAGGGAAGAAACGGAGGCCAGGAAAGATTTAGTATTGTCCCTAAAGTGGTACACCCAGTGCCCAAACTAGAAACTAAATCGCTCAATTCCCCGTGCATTACCCTTTCAGCCACATGTCCTTGTAAGCTAAAGTAACAGAGAATTTATCACCTCCTGATCTTGCCAGGCAGGCTTTACCTCGAAATTTTTAGAGTGTTTATTTCTCATCCTGCATAGATGAGCAATGGAGAAGATCACATGTGAGTCTCTCTCTTGACCGAAAGAGTACCTGAAAGGACCGAGGAGGAAGGGGAGGGGGCGCTGTGGCTGAGATGTGCAGCCAGAGCCATTACCTTTCTAGCCAAGGCCACCACCCCGATGACTGCTATGCAGGTGACCACCAGCACTATGGCCAAGGCTCCAACCAACAGAATCTGGATCCTGGGGCTGTGTTCAGTCACTAGAAAGACAACAAACAGAAGTAAGTTGCAGAGGCCAGACGCAAAGCTGCCTTCCCCAAAGGAAGCCTCAGCTCACACCATGGATGTGGAAATTGGCCAGGCCCTTTACCAACCACAGGACTGCAGGAGTCTGTAGGCCCAGCTCTTCAGACAGCAGAGCAGCTGCCTGGCCCATCAGGATATCCGAGGTCTCCAGCAGTGGCATACCTCGTGTATTTTTTTAACACTCTTTTCCTCTGTGCCATAAAATCATTTTCGGTAATCATGAAATGAAACAAATAACACCACCCAGGAAGAACACCAGAAAGTAAGTATTTTCTTTTACTAAATTTTATGCACGTAATTATACCAATAAAAATGTTTAATTAAAAATTAAAATAAAATTAATATGGAATTACACAAAGAAAAAAAGCAAATAACCTTTCACCTTAAGCCCATAACACTTATTTCCAGCGAGGCTGTGAAGCCTTACCCTTTCCTATTTTCTCAGCACCCAATGCAGAGCAGGTGCTCAATAAATATTTGTGGCATGAATGAAAGCATGAACAAGTCCATCTTACTGTCCAAGTCTATTGTCATACAATGTAAACGTAAGCAGGAAGGGGCAGGAGGAGGAGGTTGAAGAAATGAGTGATGGCTAATCCAAAGAGAGTGTGACAAAAATGACTTGACTGCCCGATGTGTGTTGTGGTGGGTGGAAGGCTTTCAGGCTGCTTCACTCCATCCCTCCCTCCTGCCCAGGAGCTCAGGCATGACCCAGGTGTCCCAGGAATTCTGGAAAGAAGAAGGGTGCAGCAGAAGTCTGGCCCCACTTCCCTCTAACTAAAGGCTAAGAATGCTGGAAAGGTGGCTTTAAGGAATCCGGTCCCTTAAGGCAGGGGCAGTGCCTACAGAATCAAAAGCCTACAGAAGGTGCTCCTTCCTGCCTTGAGGTCCCCATAAGCCAGGACAGCCCCTGGTAGGCCATGGCTATGAAGTCAGCTTAGGAGGAACGAGGGCAGGTGGGAGGCAAAACAGTCATGGAAAACATAGTGCAAGGGGTCAGAGGGGCTGCAGGGGCCTATCCATCGGCCCAGAAAAGGAGACATGGTTAGAGGGGGGCACAGATCCAGGCTGGGGGTCAGGCTGTGGCCTGGGTTCCCTAATAAGTTGGGACTGAATAAAGACAGATGGGTTAAGAATGTGATGAGGTGTAGGGAAGATTATGATGATGAGTTTGATTAGGTTTAAGGATAATTTAGAGATACAATTAGGACCAGAGGGGGATTTGGGATATTAGGAATATCAACTTCATTAGGAATTTTTGGATTGAAATAAAATCACCAATTCATCCATTCACAGTTACAATCACGGAACAAAGACTTCAAGGTCTTTGAAACAGAAGCAGCCCCAGAGAAGCATGGTGACATCTCTACATGGAGGGTGGGGAGGGTTCGGACTCTGCATAAGTGTTACTTATGCCTGTGCCTATTAACCAGGCTACTTTTAGGTTTAATTTCAATTTTAGCATTAAGGTTAGAAATAGCTTAACTATTATACAGTAGAACCTCCATAGTTGACCACCTCCCTACATTGACCACCTCCTTAAGGTGACCTCATTTTCATAGACCAGACATGCACCATACGCACTTATCAGTACAGCAGTCCTTAATGCTGATCACTTCCATAGGCTGATCAGTTTATTATAGACCCTTGGATGGTCAATTTACAGTAGTTCCACTGTAGTTAGTGTTGGGATAGGAATGTGTACTAAGGTCCAAATTAGGGTTACAAAAAAGTCAGGGTTGAAGTTAATGCAAGTGATTAAAGGACAGCTGGTATCCCAGGTAAGCAACTGGCCACTTGAGAAACAAGAGGAGAAATGCAAGAGACCAGTGGTGTTCCCTGGAATCTGCAATGGCAAAAAGGCTGGGATGCATAGGCTTTAAGGAGAAGCTAAACAGAGGCCCCATACAACATCTTCTGCTCTCTCTCCCTGCGTGGTCCATGAGACACAGGGAAGAATTTGTATCTTCATTTCCCTCATTTTCTCACTGAGGAATAGTCGTGCCACTGTGGGAAGAGGCCTTTGGGAAGAGTGTGCTTGTTAGGAGCTTTGGTCCCTGAACATCCTGGCCTGGACATGCACAGACATAGCCCCAGGTCCTGGGCCCTGTAGCCCACAGGTGTCTTCCACCTGAACTCACTCCTTATCCCCAGTTCCGCAGGCTGAGGATGGACCATGAAGAGCCAGAGCCATCAAGATAATCAATCATTTGGTTACTCTTGCTAGGATCAGGCCTCTGCCCTGTTATTGTTGCAGGCCCCTTCTAACCTAAAGCAATACATAGCATGTTAACTAGCATGTGTTATGTTAAATTAAGCTTATTATGTGGCTAGCATTGTTCAAAGGCCTTATTTGTACCAACTCATGAGATTATCACGTTATAGATGAGAAAATGAGTAACATAATTTGCCCAGATTACCCAGGATCCATGGCAATCATGGATGGTCATAGACCCTGGGCAGTGTGATTCCAAAGCCCAGGCTCCTGCTTGTTTCGTTTAGTCTATGTGGGAACCAGCCAAGAGGTAATGTTTGAAAAGTAACTTTAAGGTAACTTTGTATCTTCTCAATTTTATGCAGATTTTACAAACTCATAAAACTTAATTTCCAACACAGTTGATGGCAGTAATAAGATCTGAGGATAGTTTAGTGGACACAAAATACCTGGGTTAAAATCAGCTCTACCATCCTGAGCAACTCCAAGCCCCAGCCTCCAATAAACTTTCAAAAGGGAATCCTATTAACAGTTAACATCTACCAAGCACTGACCACGGTCCAGGCAGGTTTGAGGACATTTAGTTGTGGTGAATAATTCAATCCTACCCCTGACCCCAGCTGCCCCAGCTATCCTCCTTTTACAGGTGGGAAATGGATGCTCAGGGAAGCTGAGTAACCCTGCCTGAGACCAACAGCAGATCCAGGATTTAGACCCAGGCTATCTGCCAATCTGAGCTCTGAACGCCTGTGCTACTGCCTCTTAGATATGATAATAATAATTTCCCAGGATTATTGGAGAATTGGTTTAAATGGCTAGGTGGATAATGAATATGAGTGCATTTTAGAAACTTTGAAGTACGATACAATGTCAAGTATTATACATTTACACTTAGCACTTGCTGTGCTTTGTTTTTATAAACTTAGCAGTGAATTGTAATTTGCATGTGCATGAACTCTTCGCACACGACCTCAGCAACAGGTCTTTCTAGTAAGATAAAACATGCTTCTTCTGCAAGAACGGTGGTTCTCAGTCCTGCCATTGAAATTACCTGGGACACTTATAGAACATATCCCAGCCCAGCTCTGCCCCCAGAGATTCTGATCTAATCAGTCTGCGTGGGGACCCTGGCATCAGGATTATTTATGAGCTCCCAGGTGATCCAAGTGTCACCCAGAACCAAGAAGCCCTGCTCCACATGGTGTTTCTGGCCAGAATTTTCTATGCTAGAGGAAGTGTTTCATCAGCCACCCCACTCCAGGAGGAATACCTGAGCTTCTGAGGACCTGCAGAAAGATTCTTCCTGTGTAGATCCCATCAGGGTAGGTGTGATAGGTGCAGAAGTACTCCCCAGTGTCATTGATGGTGAGCCGCTGGAAGGTGAGGCCCAGGCTGGGGCCTGGGGCCACTCGGTCCTTGAAGGCTGGGTCAATGTACCACCCAAGCTCAGCATGACGAACAGCCAGAAATCGGTCCTGCTGCTCCCAGTTGACCTGAGTCACTGCCGCCGTGGTGGAGGAGAGGTGGCATTGCAAGACGACAGAGCCACCTTCCTCTACAGAGACATTCCCCGTTGTTACTACGGTGCCTGTTATAGCTCCTAGGGAAGAGGGACATGTACGCATGAGAGAGGTCTGCAGCTGGCCTTCCACCTTCCCATTGAAATTCTAAGAGGCACGGAGGCCAGAACTGGTTTTGAAATAATAGTTTCTCCAGTCAATCCTGTTGCTCCTATACCTTCTCCCCATGTCATGAATCACTCCTCCCCATGCCTGTCATTCAAGGCTCCCAGCCCCACCTTGTGTCCACACACCTGTACTCCTGTCCCTGCCCCAGAAAGAGTGATCAGTGCTACACTCCCTCCAGTCTTATGGGACCCCAGCCCAGGACCTCACCCCTTCTTGCCCATCCCCCTTCCTTTCACACTCAAGGCCTGCACGGTGTAATTAGCACCTCATTAAGTGCCCAGCTTATTACTACACAACTCAGCCCCTCACCCTCTCCCGATACTCCTGCTGTGTCCATTCAGGACTAGCCCCTTGTTATTCTCATAGTCTTATTTTCTTTCCCCACTTTCCCCACTGATGTCCTTGTCAGCTGACATCACCTCTTCCGGGTCTTTTTGTACCTTCCAGCAGCCTAATTCTGTACTGGGTACATTATCCTTTGAAATAAAACCTGGCCGTTTGGCTTCTGGGTCATTTGGGATGTCTGGGAATGCCTTCAAAAAAGCCAAGAAGTCCCAGGGAAAGGAGCAAGAAACTGCGTCTCCCAGAAACTGATTCTCCCGGACAAAACCACCCTCTTCAAGGTTTATGTTTCCTCAGCACCCCTGGGCATTTTTTCACCCTCAGAAGATTCATAAAGTGACATAAAAACTAATTTGTACTATGATTTGAAGCATTTATGTCCCCCTCCTCCAGAAATATTTGTGTAAAATTTTTGATATAGAAGAAATAAACTTGAGGAAACTTCAGTCTATAATGGTAGAATTTCCGTAATCCATGAAGAAGATATTTTTTGATCTATGGAGAACTACTTACATTGTTTTTTTCTGGAAGGTTCTTTAAGGGCAAAAGAAAGAAAAGAAGATGGAGCAGAAGTAAGTTTCTAAAAGTAAGGTAATAATTCCCTCTTCCTGGTGCCTCCTTCTCCCCCTGCTTCCTTTCTTGTGCCTGCCAGCCAAGCCCCCCAACCCCAAAGGTCTACAAAGTCCTTCATCTGCCACCCAAAACAGGACCTGGGCTCCTTCTCAGAGATTGCCTTTCTCACAATGAGGGTACACAGGACTCAGAAAATTATATTCCCTTCCCTCCAATAGATGTAGCATGTGCTCAGAACTTACACACATACACACACAGGCTCTCTGGTCTTTATGCCAAGCTCAGCCTTGCTCTCTCCTCCTCCCTGTGCTGCCAGATTTCAGGCCTTACCTGAAGTGAGGGCAGCCTGATTCAGTCCCTGGGCCCAGATCAGGAGGAGACACCACTGCATGCTTCTGCCAGGGGGCCTACAGGAAGCAGATGTGGCCTCTTCTGCCACTGAAACTGGCCGACTACAGATAGGAAGGAAAAGCTGAGCATATGAGGAAAGAGGGTCTCGGAAAAATCGAGTTCAGCAAAAACCATGTCAAAAACACATAAAGTTCTCAATAAGTACACAAACTGCTATAGGGTAAGCCACAAGAAAGGCCATAAAGGAAACACATTTTAAAATAAACAACAAAAAAAAATGTGGTAAGAACTACACTAGTCTTTAGATTATAATAAGTCAATCTATTGTTTTTAAGTTTTGTCTTAATGTACTTCTAAAAAAAATCAGCCTTTACCCCAAAAGTTCAAGGGCATTTGTGGCATGCCCAAGACTCTGAAGGACCTGTTGCTGATGAAGAACTATTCTCCCTGCTCCTCTGACTTCATCCTGCTGAAGAATATGCAATAATAAGAACCTTACAAGGGTGGGAACTTCTGGTCAGAAAATTCACTTGACATCTAATGAGCATGTGAACAAGAAGCATTGACTTGGGGAACTACACATGGATAGGACACAGGTCCTGGCCAAACAGAGCAACTTTCTCTTGAATGAGGTCCTCTTCTTGAATCTTATTTCTTTTGTCTTATTTATCTATACTGAGACTTTGAATTCTGGTTTACTTTTTCTGACCCAGTAGAATCCGAAGAGACCAGAATGAGCTTTACTGGGCACAGTAACCCATGACAGTGGTAAATGCAGAGAAGGTGAACTCCTGGGACCTTGCCCAGGAAAGGGGTTGGTAGACTTGTTTGGGCCTCCAATCTCATCACCAGGTCCTATTATTGATAAATCTTCTATCTCTCCCCCCCGTAATTCATCTGAAAGTCCCTGAGTGCCAGACTTAACACCAGGCTCTGAAGATAAAGAGGGTGAATAATCATAGCCCCTGCCCTCAAAGAGTTCTGGTGAAGCCACTGGGGGCAGAGGTGGAGTATCCACATGTACTGGCCTCCTGGGCTGTTACCACCATTGTTCTATGGCACATATCCTAAAACTATGCATCTCCACCTAAGGGCTGACACCCTGTCCCCTTCATTCCAACTAAGCACCCTAAGTATGTCCCACTGTCCAGGCTCCTGTCCTCTTCCTACCTTGCAGAGTGCTCTATCTACCTCCCCTCCTTGAGTTCTGCCCATTCCAAACTCCACATCATGACCTGGGCACCCTAATACCCCTTATAGTCTTGAGTCCTGACCCTTAGACTATATATACCTTACCAAATTCTCTCTGCCTACCCAAATTCAACTGGTCCTTCAAGGCTCACAGCAAGAGATACCTCCATGACCTTTCAACAGCTATCATGCCTTCACCCAAATGAGCAATAAAACCTAAGGTGTGTCCAAGGGAGGGTGCTGAGGTTGAATTGGAGGGGCATTTCCAAAGCTCATTGCTAAGGCAGAGGAGCCAGGGTAGGAGACCCAAGAGCAGCTCATGGCAAAAGAGCAGAGAAAGGGGTGGACAGTGAGGCTTCTATGGTACAGGTGGGTGGAAGCCAAAGACATAGGAACTGTCTTATATGATGAGAAATTCAAAGAAACTTAAGAGTTGGTAAAAAAAAAAAAATGGTTGAATAATTTTCCTGTTCGTTTCTAAGCAACTAGTCCAAAAAAGAACATGGTCAAGTCCATTTTGATGAATGTTCCTTTCAGAAACACTTGAGGTTGATGATAACAAACTGCAGAATATTACCTGAGCTCAAAGTCATGCCGGCTTGATGACCTTGGGAAACTCACCCAGCCTCTCTGAGCCTCGGTTTCCACATCTTCATGTAGGAACAACTGTACCTCCCTCATAGGCTTGTGAAGATTCCGTGAACTATGTGGTAATGTGCTTAGGAAAGTGCCTGGAGCATACAAAGGGAAGGGTTCAATACATTAAGTACATATCAATCACAACATTAAGGAAATGAAAGGAAAATCAGAGGAGAATATTCCTCTCTATCTACATAAAATATTTTGCCAAGAGTAAAGCCCTAATCTAGACTCCTAGGCCAGGGTTCCATGCAACCTCTTCATTCCTGCCTCTTCATTCCATTCATCTGATGTAAGAATAAGAAAACACAATGTTTCTGCAGAAAAAGTGGCCACTGTGCCAACCAGCCCGAGACTGCCTTGGAGGACAGCAAATGACCAAACAGTCTCCCTGGGACCCATTCCCTGAGTCCCTCTGTGAGCCTCCTGCAGAGACTTTGCAGGGACATGTCTCTGGTGTGGCCACCCACTTAGCCACAGCCAGAGCTCAGCAGCCAGCTTTTTTGGGGGCCCAGTGCACGGCTCAGTTAGGTTCTGACTCACAAATCTATTAAAAAGTTCTTGGTTATAGGTGTGGTGGCTCACGCCTGTAATCTTAGCACTTTGGGAGACTTGATGTCAGGCGTTCAAGACCAGCCTGAGGGAGAACCCGTCTCTATAGAAAATTCATCTGGGCATGGTGGCTCATAACTATAGTCCCAACTACTCAGGAGACTGAGGCAGAAAGTTCCCTTGAGCCCAGGAGTTTGGGGTTGCAGTGAGCTATGATGACACCACTGCACTCTAGCCTGGAAAACAGAATGAGACTCTGTCTCAAAAAATAAAAATAACCTATTTGATCCTGCAATCCCATTAGTAGGCATCTATCCAGAAGAAAAAAAAATCATTTTATCATAAGGACATTTGCACTAGACTATTTATTGCAGATCAATTTATAATCACCAAGATGTGGAAACAACCTAAATGTCCATCAACTCAGGAATGGATTACCATGGAATACTATTCTGCCATTAAAAAAGATGGAGACTTTACATCTTTTGTATTAACCTGGATTGAGTTGGAACACATTCTTCATAGTAAAGTATCACAAGAATCAAGAAGCAAGAATCCAATGTATTCAATTCTAATATGAGGCCAGTAGATGATCTAATACATACCCTTGTAAGAGAAAAATTCAAATCAATTCAAGGAGGCAGGCAAGGGAAGGAGGGAGACAGGAGGAAGGAGGAGGATAGGGGTTAAGTGTATGGCACATCTCTTGGGGGCGGGATACAATTATAAGAGGGACTTTACCTAACAGATACAATCAGTATAACCTAATTCTTTGTACCCTCAATGAATCCCAAACAATAAAAAATAAAAATAGCCACTGCAGTAGCTCAGGCCTGTAATCCTAGCACTCTGGGAGGCTGAGGCAGGTGGATTGCTTGAGTTCATGGGTTCAAGACCAGCCTAGGCAGGAGCAAGCCCCCGTCTCTACTAAAAAAAAAAAAAAACTGAGGCAAGAGGATCGCTTGAGCCCAAGAATTGGAGGTTGCTGTGAGCTATGATGACGCCATAGCACTCTACCCAGGGCAACAACTTGAGACTCTGTCTCAAAAGAAAAAAGTAAATAAAAATAAAAATTAAAAAATGAAGTTCTAAAACGGGCCCCTGACCTTTGTGGTTCTGTGCTAGGCAGATGTGGTCAGCCCTGGCGCAGGAGGGTGCGCATGGGTGCTGTCAAGGGGGAGGAAGTGCTAGCTAGAACCACAGCCCAGCGCTGTCCGCACTTGGGAGTGGCCACCGAAGCGCAGGGCCGGCTTCACAAACCCACACAGTCCTGACCGCCTGTGGCCGGTACTCTGCGAAGGCCCATGACTTCTACACAGGAAGCACAACCTAGGCTCAGAGAGTATCTCCCAGCAGCGTCTTCAGCCTTCAGCCTCTCCAGTCTCCTCTCGCTCAGAAGGGGTGAGGGAGCACCAGGGCTCTCACAGCCGTCTTCTCCCACCTGCAACATCCTGCTGCTGGGCGGCCGGGTGGTGACCTCCTCATCCAAGCACTCCGGCTCTCAGCCCTGTGGACCAGCGCCTCCTGGTGGCAAGCTGCATTACGGCAGGGTGGGGCAGGAAGCACCCAGCCCCGGTCCTCCACCTGCAGAGCCCTGAGGGAACCTGGGAGGAAGGAAGCTGGGGGACCAAAAGACCCTGCCCTGTGACCCCTCACCCATCTGCCTATCCGCCATAGCAAAGCCCCCTCACAGTGGAGAAAACTGAGCAATGGGGTAGTGATACTCCCAAAGCCACTTGTGGAGAGAGATGCCTCAAAAAATCAAACACTGATCACAGAAGGAATGTCTATGATCCGAGGTTTATTAATAAGTCCAAGAGCCTTGGGGCTTGTTGGCTGACACTGGCTTTATGCAAATACAGATAAGAAGAAGGTGGGGTGGGGGAAATGCTGACTTTTGTTTGTTCACTCTCCCTCAGGTGAGGAGTCCTCAGTCTGAGGATCCCTTCCACCCCTAGACTGCCAAGAAATGTGGTGGACTATGGGAGATTTCCTCTGGCTTCCCAGCTGTAAAAATAGAACCGGTGCTCCCGGGACATGTTGGAATGCAGAATCAGAGGAAACATCTTCTGGAAGCAGCAGCCGATCCTCTCTTCTCAGTTGAGGCCCCTCCTGCAGCCTCACTTCACAGCCTTCCCACCCACGAACGTCACTTCCCTCCTTTTCCTCCATCCTAGGGGGGATTATACCGTTGTATAATCAGGAAAAGTATTCACTGTCACTGTTAAAACACAGTAAGGCAGGCTTCATTCAGGACCGTCGTGCTAGGTATAGGGACCAAGGCGATGGGATTTTGCAGTAGGGGAGAGAGATCAGACTCAACTCTGAAAACAGCACTGGCAAGCCGAACTTAACAGCCAAGGAGATGGAAAAGTACTAAGAGGAAAGAGCAGGATCTGGGGGATTTCAGCTGAACGGACTTCACAAAATTCTTGCTAAGATGGGCCAGAGTAGTCAGACATCACCTGAGAAATGGTGGAGGATAAGGAATCTGATCAGTGTTGGCCAAAAATAAGTGACAAGCAAAAATCTCAGTCAATGAAAGTTTATTAAGCCAAAGTTCAGAACACACCAGGAAAAATATGAACCACGATAAAACTGTGGCTGTTTTTCTGAAGAGGGATTTGGAATTTTCAGCAGGTAAAGGCACATAAACAG